GGGCCGGTGCAGGCCGGTGACAGGAGAAAGCTTAGAGTTCCCGGCACCGCCCTCAGTTTCAGCTCCTGCGCCCCCTCCCCTAACTCCAATCCCGGCCACTGTTCTGCTGGACCACTTCGCAGTGGAGTCGGATAAAGTGAGGATGGGGGGTGGCCTTCTGCTCACGGTGAAACAGCCGAGTCTTCAGCTTCTTTCCAGTTGGGAACCAAGCGATCACTTCCTTCCTGCCCCACCCTGGCTCCAGCGCCATGGATGATGTGTCCGCCCCTCCCACGAAGTCTGCCCTGCGGCACCTGTTCCGTCCAGTCTGGGGAGCCCTCCCTCGGGCTCATGGATAGGGGCTGCTGCAGGGGCGTCGATGGGACGGCAGGAAGGCTCACTTCCGAAGTAGGTGCCGCCCCACAGAGGCCTGGAAGCTCCCGCCTCGGTCAGGACGGAGCAACTCCCCGGCTGGCGCCTCCGCTTCCGGCCCTGCTGGGACTGCTGAGTCCTGGTGCTGGGGGCTTTTGTGACGGGGCGAGAACGCAGCCCTCAGAGACAGGCAAGTCCACACGTGTATGTGTTTCAACCCCTTAGGAGGTTCTGGGACACTCAGTGAGTTACTGTCCCCTCATGGCCTTAGTTTTCTTACTTGTCACCTGGGGGTGGGGAAACAGCTCCACAGATTTTGCTAGGAAGTCACATGAAGCAAAATGGAGTCATCCTGAGCTAAAAGAGCTGATGTAGATAAGTGTGCTGACCATATAATTTTTCTCTAGAGCTGCACATTTGTTCAGATTTCATAAACAGAAAAGACAACTCAAATATTACCCATTCCATAAGTTGTTTTAAATTACAGCTGTAATGCAACTCTTAGAAAAACCTAATAATTGACCCTCCTGCTGGATGGCTTTGAGGAAAAGAGGCTTCAATTCATTGAGACCAAACAAAATATGCAAGGTAGGTGCCTTTCTCCTCTGCTGTTTGACATATGAACTCCAGCATGAAATTAAAAGGCACAAGGGCTGAGTCTTTAGCTCAGTGGTTCCGCCACCTGCCTCACAAGTGCAAGGTCCTGAGTTCGATCCTCGGTACAAACAAACAAAACCCCTCACGAGATAGTAATAAAATGTGTGGAGAGACATAGAGACTTCAGGAAAGAACCCCTGGAATTTCTAGAACTAAAAATGTAAATTAGATGAAAGTTACCCTGATTGGATGAAGCCAGTGAGATAGAAACTGTAGAACACGAAGCTCACAGAGAGAAAAACTTAATGTAGCTTCAACAACCTATCCGTGAGACCAACACATATATAATCGGAGTTTAAGAAGAAGAAAGGAGGGGATTGGTGCAAAAAAATGTAAAT